TTTTTTTGGTCACTTTTATTTTCGTAAATCGTAATCCATGTAATATTGAGTCGAAATGACCCCAATGTTAGCAAGCGAACAGACATGGTGTTAGCAAGTAAATAACACCGAATAAACGGCATGGTAAATACTATATCAAATTATAGTAAACATGTACTGCGTGCGCGACTTACTACTCGCCTAGACATGGTGACGTTATGATGTTTAGGCTGCGCAGATGCGTGATTGCATTTGTTCACGGTCTCATACGGACACTTATTAGTTTTCATCAACCCGGAGATGACAGTGTAGCAATACACTGATTTACTCTTATCATTTAATTACAGTACTTATACTGCCATTGCAGTTAGGTTTATCCGATTCGTGTGACTCAAATCAAGTTATTTATAGCGTCAACCATCGTCCATAGTTTAGCTTATCAGCACGCTGTACAACGAGCAACACGGTACTACCAATCACCGACCAATATTACGTGTATGACCGTACCAGACCGGGACTCAAGTCATTCTCCATTTTACGTGCCCAGCCAGTCTAGAGAGACACAGAATAGCTGATTAATATTTAAAAAAACCACATATACTAGTACGCGTAGTTGGTACGTTGCTTTCACAACAAACATGTACATGTATGGAAAACACACTTTCAAAAAGGACGAGTCTTTTTATGTTCACTTCGTTGTGATTCAAATCGAATCACAGTAGGCACGTATATTATCGACACAGCAAATCCGTTCCACTTATTATTTTTATAAATATTCATAAATGCATGGAGTTTGGTAAGCTGTGACAAATTGGAAATACTATTGTAAGGCATGGTGGATTTATATCAGACATTCTCTATTTTAAAGGGCGGTGGTCGGCGCGCCGCGCATGCGTCACCTTTGTGTTGTTCAATGCGCTCTTCTAATGGGAATTACAAATGTGAGTTTTGACCTTGGCGCGACGTGCACCGATTACCGCAGGTGACTACTTCGATACTTTTCAATCACCAACAAAATTATCTAATTAAAGCCTGGCAATGTCTCATTTTGTACTCAGACTAGTATTACTAGTCTGAGGTATGCACAACAGTCAAAGTCAATACCATTAGAAAACGATCGAATAGCATTACGAGTTTAAATGCAACCTGACTTGAAATTGGACTCTAAAAGATTAATATTCAATGACATTCCTCAGACAGATTCAACGTTTTCCCATGTGTAGTGGGGGATACCAAGTTGACGACTTAGATGTTGACTTCTATCCCATTCGGCATTTGCTTGTAAGTGGGTTGAGACTACTATTCGATCTGGAGGTAAGATGGTAGATCACCCAATACTGTTCATTTATTGTTTTCATTACTTAATTTTGAGCTGGTTTTAGTTCGTGTTGGTTATTGCTGTGTGTACATGACCTTTTATTAGACATGAACTACTTTTTAAATAATTTGTTCCATATTTTTTAATCCATGTGATACTGAACCCAAATTAATTTTGTGGTAGCATGGGGAAATTTTTAATTGGACGCATGCGTGTGATCACTTTTGTTCCCAATGTTCCCTTTCTCAAATTCCCCCTCCCCTCGAAAAAAAAAGTTACCTGGCATTGTTTTCACTAACTCGGTGATAGGTGTACCAATCCACACACGGTGGCAATTACTCTCAGTGCTGATAAATATGCTATTAGTGCCGATAAGATTATCTGATTCGCGTGACTTTGATTAGTGTTTAATCTTCATTATCACGCCCACCGTACTAATCAACGGTACTGATATTACGTACAAGGTCGCACTAAGTCAGTCTCCATTTCGTGTGCCCAACCCGAATCTCGCGAGACAGCTCGGTTCACAAAATACGCTTGATAATATTCAAGCAATATAATTTGCTATTCTGGCAAGAAACTAGTCATTGCTGGTACATTGTTTACACAAGAAAAAAAGGTATTGAATATATTCTAAAGCACGGTGGTCGTCGCGCAGCTCGTGTTCGAATTTCGAGTAAATAAACAATGTATTTTACACGCGTTGTATACGTCGCTGTGAGTCCCATATCGAACAAGACGCGGCGCGACGACTGCCGTCCTTTAAAAAATAGGTTTTGCCTTTCGTCATCGCGTGCATTAGTTTGAAACCTACACCGACAAAGTGCATCACATACGGTAGAATGGGGAAATGTTTGCTTTCACTGGGATGATTTGTCTACCAATATTAACGTCGGCGTTTAACGAATGTAATGGAAAACACTATTTAATAAAAAATACTATTTTTCACAACGAGAACCAAGTTTTTGTCTTATTTCTCAGCTTTATCACGCGACATTGCCAAATTACTACCGGACAATCACTATGGGAATTTTCTCCAAATTTGCCGGTAATACGAATGTTTATAGTAAAAGCAACTGAAAGTTGTAGTGCAACTACAGCAACACATGTATGTGGTTTTGTTGGTTTTTCTCACAGTGTCCAACTGAATATGGATTGAAACAGGACAGCAATTTATATTGCTGGAATATTAATGCGCGTATTACCATACCATTGTTACATTTCTGTCTTCGTAGATTGGTTGAGCGAACGAAATGTGGACTGAATTGATACGACCTTGTATACGTAATATCGGTAACGTGATGAAGTACGGCGTGCCCATAATGGAGATTGGGGTACTAAATCAAAGTCACACGAATCCGATAAACTTATCAGCATTAGTGGGATATTTATAGACATTAAATGATAAGAGTAAATTCAGAGTTTAACTAGTACCGTGTGTGGATTGGCACACCTCAGTACTTTTATCAGTGTGTTGGTGAACATAATGCCAAGTAACCTTTTTAATTTGGAATTTGAACAAGGGAACAGCATGGATAAAATTTATCACACACATGCGTAGAATAAAATAAAATGAATCGCATTACAATTTAAAAAGCCATGTTTATTTTTATTTTTTCTCACACTTTGAACGACTGTGGCAGTATTTCGGATATTTGTTGCTGATTTTACCATGGAATCTGCGCTGTAAATACCAGCATATATGGGTTATTTTTTACAACCCCTCGTTACATCCTTCAATACATAATATGTAATAAATATGTAATACTTGTTTTTAAAATACTAAATAGCTATAAGTTAATTCTAACCAAGGAATGGACAACGCAGATTATGCAACAAATTCAGCATAATCGAGTTAGCGCCATGTGTAATTTATTTCAAAGAGTCACCGTGTGAGGGCGCTAAAATTACTACGTACTATATATGTACTCATTCATATGCTAACAAAACGAAGGTGTGAGAGCTCAACGTTACGAATTTGTCGTATCCAAATACTATGGAAATTCCCTGGTAGTCGATCTTGAAAAGACCATATCCACAGTCCAACGAAAACGGTTATATGAGACCAACCAAATAATGCGGCGAATATTCATAGCATCGACAGAAATACTACTCCCAGTACCAAAACAGTTGTATTGACTAAAAAAAATAAAATCTCTACTGAAAATACCAGTATGCTATACTGGCGGTTGATAAATCGGATGCAAGGTAAATTTATAACAACCAATCTAATGCAATTTAATTATTAGATCATTGTGGGGTTATTTCGTTATTTGTTTCTTCTTTTGTCTCATGCGATTGGATGAAGAAAATAAACTGACACCAAAAATAATGAAATAATCTCACAAAGATCTAAATTAATCAGATTATAGACAAGTCAACGCAGTCCGGCACATTATAAAACCAACCATGTCCACACACAGTTAGTTGCGTCTTACATGTGAATTGTGTGGTTGATTGTGTGTGGGTGATTTCACGACTCTCTGATCATGGAACTATATTTTTTTTTAGCTCTATGCTCTGGTTGACTACTATTACTGGCACATTAATTACTAGTATTCAATAGTTTTTATTTTCAGTATTTTAGTTGATAAGTGTAATCCTCTGAATTAAATCCACCATAACATGTAAAATAACACTAGAACGCATTGTTTTTCTGCCAGGTTCTTGAACTTAAAATCCAGTGAAATTGATCAAAACATCAAAATATTAAAATTACATGCCAGTGAAAGTAAATGGTATGTGACAAGGACCATACTACTGTTAGTGCTAGTACGTTTGAAAAATGAACATCACTGACACTGACCTTGCGGCCCGAATACCGAAAGTATGTCTTCGTAGACATAGAACTGGGTGGTTGGTGACGACCTTTCCGTTTTAATTAGTTTTGCGCCCTCACAGTCAAAGATATTGTTTCTATCGAGACTGTTCCATGTGTCACCATACTGATAGAGAACACGTACAGGTTACTTTCCCACGCTGTTTTCCACGATGAAATGAATCGTCAACAGAATGCGTATCATGGACGTATATCCTATCGAATGGTAAAGATAAATTATACTACAGTTAGCATTTGTAGGGTTTTTCACCCCTGAGAGTTGAGACCTAGAATCTAACTCTGAAATAATTCGTCAATATCTTGCAGCTATTAGCGGATAACATATAACATACGTCTAGATATTTAGCAATTGTAATTGGAGTTGGGGAGTTATAAGTTGGAAGTTGGAAGCCGGGAATCTTGGTGTCCGTCTGGCTTGTAATACAGTGGTCTATCTGTAATGAGCTAACGTTATGTGTATTCTTTTGGGTCGAAACTAGTATCTCTACAGTGTAAGAGTTGTCTGACAACCGTGTCGAAGTGTCCTACACGCTACGTCCCTTTCGTATGAGCCGGGCCATTTTGCGCGTCGACGCTGAAATAAATAAACAAAGTCAAAAGTTGAATTATGAATATTGTTAGTGGTGTACAACATGATAAACCCACAGTATGGTCCACGGATATGATTCGATGCAATACTGATAATTTGATAATGCACGAAAAAAGTAACCGTGAACTCCTCACCTATATAGAGGTCGTCCTCCGTGGCCAGGTCACACCGATTAGATCGTAGGTACAAAGGTTGAAAGCAGCTCAAGACAGGTCAGTCCCCAGCCTTTATTGCTGTATACTCCACCGTATAACCTCTATAATCAAAGGAGGATTATGACGAAATATGTTTTAACCGATGAGTCAAAGGCATTTATTGATATTGTCGAGGAGGCGACAAGAACAGGACGGAGGAAACCGTACCATGAGCTGGAAATAGCGGAGGCAAGAGAGGCGTCTTTGCAGACAGCGAAGAAATTTGGTGGGAGTTATGAATTTATCGGAAATATTAAAAATATCAATGTTCCTGTCCCGCATCTACAAGGTATAGTTTCGATTTGTAAAATGTTATTTCGCAAGTCCACTGTTACGCGAATCGTTTGATGGATCACAGGAGGTACTAGTACATTCGAGGACTCAGCAGCGCGGGTAGCACGATAAGTTGCTTCTAATTATACATTCTACCTCAAAAAATGCACGATTTATATCTTGCCGTCAGATGGAATAGAGGTCCGCATTTACCAACCCCATGGTTGCCAAGATAACCCGCCTGTCTGGATATATTTCCACGGGGGAGGAGGATGTGTGGGGTCACGTGACACGGTTGATACAGTATGCAGATCGATATCAAGGTGAGCAAGTAGGCAAATAACACCGAATAAACGGCAAGGTAAAGACTATGTCTAATTATAGTAAACACGTACTGCGTGCGTGACTCGAACCGACGCTCGCGTACGGCACCTAATCGCCTAGCTTCACGCCACTACACGTCTTCCCCTCGGCACCGGGCATCCCCCAAAAAGGATGCTTAATAACCGAGCTTATTACGTGCAGAGAACATGAAACCCGTCCACGCGATCCGCGCCACACAGCGTGGCCAGAGCGTGGTGAGCAAGGAGTATGGAGGGAAGGGGGTCTCGTAACGACAAAATAACGGGACCTATAACGATTATTATGGGTTTTAGTATACCCACAGTCAAAATGGTGATTTCCCCCGTCAATTTATCTGTATTTCCAGAATTCATTTTAGAAGCGTGGGGATTTTAAATTTGAATGTGTATATCAAGGGGTGGATTCAATTGGTGAATTTGATCTCCAAACGATTTTTACATGGGAGCTGTGGAAGCCTACATATCAGATGACAAATACTCCCACCAACCATGGAAAAGAGTCGATTTCAAACTGTAACATGCTTTGAGGTTCTGTCGTCCTTCTCCATTTTAGAGAGGCGAAGAACCCACGAAATAAAAGGAAGGCGTCCAGACAAGGAATGATTTGGTAAAGCATATGTAATCGCTAGTGCTTTTGGTTAAATAAGTATGAAAACACGTGCATGGCAAACAAAAACGTTTCCCCATCACTTCGTTCTATTTTATTCTAACACACACGTGATGATATTTTTCATTATCTTAACCAGCCAGGGTAAATTCGTTGTAGCCAACGTGGAATACCGCCTCGGCCCTGAACACCCGTACCCAGCGTACATCCACGACGCCACCAGCGTCACGAAATGGATTATGCAAAACAAAGTTGAGATCGGTGGCGGAGAGCAGAGCATTGTGGGAGTTGGAGGAGATAGCCACGGAGGGAATGTAGCAACCACTGTCTGTCATGAAGTGAAGGGGCTAGACTACCAAGTAAGTCCCACGGGAAATTATGATAGAACAATTTCTATACTGTAGTAGTAATGACCTGGCTCATACGTGTGTATCACACCGGGACATCGTCACTATATTCTAAATATACGTTTTATTCTATTGTATGTCCAGACTTTTAAGTCGAGTTAAGGCTGTCCCCACGAAAAAAAGCAAAATACCTACAATTATATATATTAAAAGTGTAGTATACTAAGTATATCATACCCTTACGTTAACGGGTTTCATATTTATCTATCCACAACCGACAATATTAGTCCGGTCACGGTGACATTACCCGACGCCGAGTGATTTCAATGTAAGGTCAGTTACTGCAGAAACTCCGTCCGAGTTGCAAGTAATATTTTCAATTAGTTACCTGGGAGAAACGAGTACATGTTTTAACCCAAACTGACTGACAGGTTCAAGTTTCGGGGAAGAATGCGAGGAAAATTAGTCATTAGTGGGTCACTAATGTTTACTTTTCGATATTACAGACAATTCTGATGACAAATATCCGATACTAATTCACCCGTGTTGTGATTAGTTATTCACAAAGCATCAAATAAAAATGTGACAAGTTTTAACAGACATGACACAAAACCGGACACAGTTACTGCAACAGCTCATGTGAATTGTAGTTCACAGGCGTCAGCAATAGAGGCGCCTTATGATGTTAAATATGCACCACAGTCACTTTGTTTTCTATTCAATATCTGTAGGTATTAATCTTTCCATCTGTCGACTTGTCCTTCAGTTATCCTTCTCATAAAGAGTTATCAACGGGATATTTACTGGAATCTGTCACGTGTGAGTGGTAAGTGAACACGTGCGTACGCCGACATATATTTCTAAATATGCAAATCAGTCTTCTGAAATATATGAGGTTTAGTATATTGTCATATTTTTTTTATATTTTTGGTCAAGTTTAGTGATCAAATCTGTGACCAGCTATGCTATATTCAAAATGACGAACAATTTCGACCAAACAGAGTTGCCTGTTTGAATGACGTTGCTTACATCCCACTACGTCACTTTGACGTCACAGAGGTGTTTCGTCGCATGATTTATTGGAAATATGTGTTTCTTTGAGTACAGTGAATATTAAAATATTCGTTTCCGCTTTATCATCCGATATTGTATTGCAATCTATCTACAGGTTCATGGATCGGTTGTGTACGACACCAGCTCATCGGTTCGAAACATTTGGTTCATGTATTCGTCGCGAGGATTCCAGTTTTATTGGCCAGCCGCCGTGTTTCTTGTTAATCACCGAATGTGACTTGCTGAGGGACGAGGGGCTAGGTAATACGTGTCGTTCATGCCCGGGGAATCATCTTTACAATTTATATACGTGTATGCGAGTCAATTTTGGTGAAAATTGCGGCCAAATTCCTCAAAAACCCACTCTTGAAAACAAATTTCAAAAAAAAACCCGCCCTTGAAATAAATATAGATTTGATTCTTGACCCAAAAAGTGATCCCTTACCCATTTTAAAACATAATTTTACAGACTCTTTGGTTGCCTCGCATAACCGATGGTAGATTTCTACGATTGACCCCGGTCTCCATGGTGATTCGCTCATTCAGTATGCAAAAAATAGTGTCATTATTATTCTCAGGATCATTTTTATTATCTGTTTTTGAAATGTGGTCATTCGGAACATCATTCGGAACATGATCATGAACATAGATTTTACAAGGTTCAGTCCGAATTGCAAAATTACATGCCATTATTTATTTTAAGGAAACATGACACTGAGTACAGAAAATGATGAAATAAATGGGGCTACCAAATATTTTTTTTGAAAAGACAAGAGCCCAAAATGTTTTTTTTTTTTTTTTTTATAAATTTCATTTATTTGCTGTTTTTTTTTATTAGTTTCCATGGTGAAAATATTTCTTTATATTTCGAAATTTGTTCGGTTTACGAAAGCGTATTGGTGCCATACTCTTAGTTTATAAAAAAAAAACTCGTTATAACGAGATTTTTTTAAAATTATGTTGCTAAGAGTGTCGCATCAATACGCTTCCGTACGACATAGGATATCTTAATATAACTTTGCCAAATACCATACATATCCAGCACATAGTTTGTCTGCCACTATTTTTCTTATTGTTACCAAGGGTCTGTTGCTGTCACTATGTGGGCTTACAATTCAAATTCACCATACACGATTTATTTTCACAGCATATGGCGAAAAATTGAAAGCAGCTGGTGTGTTTGTGGAGACGTTGTTCTTGAAAGGAACCGTCCATGCATTCTTCCATTTGCCAGGTAATTGCCATAGTGTTGGTGCTTGTTTTAGGGAAATGTCCTGTTAGTTACATGATCCAATTCTGTATCCTGCTCAGACAATGTTACATTTGTGATACTGGTTCGTTCTCTTTCAAATCATTTTTCCTCATCATACACACACAGAAACAAAATCCATTTCTTTTTTCAGATTTCTTCAAGAAGACTTGCAAGATTTCGTATGACAAAATAGTTGAGTTTATCCAATCACAGGCTGCTAAAACCACATCATAAACTAATATTGCCTCAAGGTGGCGCTGTAGTAAGCCCAAATCTGCCTCGTATGATGAATACACAGAAATCAACTACCTAGAATTTGAAAGTCACGACGTAACGAGTCAAATAAAAGTAACACCAATAAACCGTAACAGAAAGAACCAGTTTTTGCTTTATTTTTACGTTTTCATCAATAAAATATAGAGCTTAATAAACGTCTTGATACCAGAACTATATGCACATGGTTACATATACTGCGATAAAGACTTTCCGTTTTCGACATTGTAAAATACTTTCGTTTTTATGCAGAAAAATACGGTAGTTTTACCAAGTAAAATCATATTTATTAAAGTTATTGTTCATACATAAGTTGTTGAACACACAGCTTCTTTCAGTCATAATTCAAGCCAAATAAAATGCAGACAAATATAGAATATAAAAAATTATCCGTTTTTCGGAAATTATGAAAATTATCAATTGTGTGCACATTTCATTATTCTTAATATATTTATAGATTTTCTTTTCAAACCAGTCGTTTTCAGATTTATTCTCCGCTAAAACGAAAGAATATCACTATTTCGAAAACGGAAAGTTTTTGTCGTAGTGTTATATGAACAAGTACCTAGTACAGTACATCGGCAAGGTCAAGTTTTCAAACAAATCTAGCTAACTGAATACACTATTCTATGGCTGTGACCTGACATACTACTATATGTTCATTACTTTGGCGTATCCTTGCTCACTGGCATTATTGCAATGTGATGCAGTTTATTCCACGTAATAAGTGGTCGATGTCATGATTTTATTTCAAGCAGAAAAAAAAATCACAGTCTTGTCGCTTGAGGGCGCCCATAGCATGCGCAGATGAACATAAACTGAATGTCGTATGTCGTCGATCGTTTTCCAATAGCCCGGTGTTTCTGTGGCACTCGTAACTGTGTTGGACAAGATATTTATTATTTTCAGGTATGATTTTCTGCAGTTAAACAAATGTGTGCTTGTTTTGTGTGCTCTTTGTTATTATCGTCGCTGACTGCCTAACCTAAATTACGAGTATGTGTATCCTCTATTTTTAAGGGTCATACATTTGAAATCACAGAGGGGTGTCTGGAAGAGTGTGATCAGCGCAATATTTTTTCGCCTTGTTTTATCTGTACTTGTTATTTTTCTGGAATGTGTCAACATTTTTCTCTGCAAAAGCTGGCATGCATTTTTTTCTTCCCTCTGTGTTTAGCTTGCATTTTAGAAAATTTGTTTTTTCTGGCCGCGCCCATAATTTTAAATGCTTGACCCCTTAGACCCTTTATATTATCCCAGAAATGTACCGTACGCCTGTTTGTTTTGATGGTATGAATATGCAGGTATCGTTGGCAATATTTGTTCCTTCGCCCGGGCTTTGTGTCCCACTGTATTCTATTCTCTGACAACCATACAAACACTAATTTTGACAGCTTTTATTCGATGCACAATATTTTCTCTGTCTGGGTTACGACCTGTCCTGGCCTAACTTGTGTGCTTTAGGCATCAACCATCTTAAATCAGAGGGGGTGGCTGGAAGAGGGCAATCAGTGCATTTTTTCATGGTAACTTAACTGTCCATATTTTGATTTCTCTTGAATATGCCAGATTTGTTTTTCAGCAACACTTTGCATACATTTTTTTGTTTTAGCAATTTTTTTTTAGCAAATCTTCTGCCCACACCCCATGATTTCAAATGGTCGATCCCTTATGTACTTTTCAGCTCACTTCTAATAATGGCTGCCAAACAGGCCAATCTGCATAGAGAAGCGAGACAATGGCTGCAATTGTTAGAGAGCACAGATACCCCGGTGTTGAACTTCGACGAGAATACAACTGTGGAGGAGGGTCGAAAGATATATTCAGATTACCATCGATTGGGCACCGGTGAACAAACATCATTTCTGGGAGAAGTGAAAGACCACATTGTGCCTGTATCTCATTGTGCAGGTGAGCCCTATAAATTAGCTCAGTGACCAGCAATGACCCCAATATCCGTGTTTATGTTAGTCTGCATTAACTTTACATGTGAGGGGTGAACCATTTGATATTATGGGGAAGACAGGAACAAAAATACAGCAATCATTATAATCTTGCCTTTGGTTTATTTGGGAAATAAAAGATGACATAGTGCCCATTATCAAAGGCCAATATCAAAATCAGAGGTTTTTATGACGTCACAATAATGTAAATGTAAACCAATATTCACAATTGAGTTCATTTCTTGCATCATTACTCAGAAAAGTGTGGGCCAATTTTGTTCAAAGTTGGTACAAAGACAAGTCATAACAGACTACATAATGCACGTAGAGTTGTTTCTAGTTTGGTTGGCATTTGACTGGCTTGTGCCCTGCTTAGTCTAAAAAACACCAACAATTACCATTTTAACGTTTCTTAGACATTCAAACTGGTATTGATGTCACTCATGCTGGGTTTCTGATGCACATCATTTTGTTTCACATTTTGATTCAAAATGGCCGACTGGTGTTCATTTTTTTTTTACAAGTCTCACAGACACACTTTCACAGATTTTATTTACTAGTAAATTTGATACAAAGGCAATGCATAATAGGTTGCCTGATTCTATCAGGTATTTTTGGATTCTGATACAATTTAACTGACTGGCTGCTTTTTTTGTCTGAATCGAATTCACAAAATTTGAGCATGTCATCAACTGTTTCCAGCACGTTTCTTTCAAAAACTGGTGTTTTCTGTCCTCATTGAAGTTACAGAGTTACTGATTCGCTCTAATATAGAAATCTCTGCATCACAACCAGTCATATATATATCATATGGACTGAGTAAATTTTAAAAATGAATCTTATTTTTCCAGTGAAACATTGCACAATAATATATCATGTATTTCATTTTTCAAAGATGGGAGACTGTTACATTTTTTGTTTTGTTTGATACCATGATTTGAAATAGTCTGCCCAAACAATAACAAAACAAGTCTTGTAACTCTCTCACTCACAACAAAATATCGATGGCCATTTGCAAAGGTCAATTGGATACAATTTGTTGATATAACCTTTTCACCACCAGACTTTATTGTCCAAATTTTTCTGCACTTATTTTTTATGTTCTTCAATATTTCTGGAAATGAACCCTCATTTTGGGGCCAACAGATAAAATTCGAGTCAGTTTTCAGTTTTTTGACCCAATCCTTTTAAGGAAAGAGCAGATTATAAATGGGACTATTTTGTGAATTTGTGATGGAATGAGGGAACTGGTGGTAAAAAGGTTAAACGATGGTTCACAAGATGCATGATGGAATTTGAAATTAATTGGTGCAACAATGTAAGAAAAATTTTATTTTCACCTTTGGCAGTGAAGAAATATATTCTAAATATTTTACCCCTAGTTTAGACTAATTCACCTGTAAATCCCAAATAACTTTGAAGCATAAACACATGTTTTATACTGCTCTATTCACAAGATGGTATAGAAGTCACAGTTTACAAACCTACTGAGTGTCATACCAACCCAGCGATCCTGGTCTATTTCCATGGAGGCGGTTGGGTACTTGGTTCTCGAGAGTCTGTTGATGTCATGTGCAAGACTGTATCAAGGTTGGTAATTCATATCATATGTCTGCACACCATACCATACCATATCATAGTCACATGACTCATTATTCTGGCTTGAAGTTTATTACCGGTATACACCATGAGAAATTGTGGGTTATCCTATATAACTCCACACTTTTGGTCAGAGTCTATAGGGCAGGGTATTATATCCCATAATCCACACTTTGGAGTTTCTTAATTATACCATGAACAAAATTAAAAGATTCAGCAATTACAAGTGTATAGCTCTGAGTGTGTGTTAATTTACATTTCGGTAAATACATGGCAGTCATGAAAGGTACACGGTACTTCCACATACAGTTTAATACCTTTCACAAATTGAGAATTGTCTTTTCCATTGAAATCAGTGCCAACATTTGTAATTCACTTCCTCATTGTGGTGTAAAAATGCCAATGTTATTATTCGGAAAATTGCCTCAGTTTGATACAGCATTCTGATTAATGACAGACTTGACCTGTTAGGTCAAAGGGCATTAGTTACATTTATGTAGCTAGGACAATGCCAGTTTACAGTTATATTACAACTAGCATATGAATACAACTGTAGAAATTACTATACTGCTTATAAATACACAGGTTTGAATCAAACTGATTTCAATGCTGGAAACAGTGTATTGATGGAGTCCTATTATCCTGTTATTAGTGATAAGACACAGGAAGGCGGCATGCCAAAACTCCTAGACAGCGTACCACTGTTGAACCCAGAAGTGTCATCATTCACAAACAGGGAATGCTTTGCCATTTTGCAGCATTAATGATAGCCAGTACAAAAAAACTGGGAGGAAATTACCTGAGTTCCCCTCAAGATACTATTTCACATAATTGATATGGTTTCTATGGTTTATGCCATGCATAATGATCTAAAGGTGGCCATACAGAATGAACTTCCACCAGACTCCCTAAGACAGGCATTTGGCAAGTTTTTGAAGTGCCTAGATCCTTCAGTACAGGGGTTACATATCACAATAGCCGACCTTACATAAACAATTTTAGCATACTGCCACTTTTCAACTGGGGAAATCTGTACATCCCGGCAATTAAATCACTTCAGATTGAAAACGTTAGTCTCTGCCTTGCTGCTACTAGAGTTCGGTGGACAATGATGATAGGTAATTATGACGATGAACGATGACAGAAAATGATGACAAACTTTGACGATGAGGACAATATATCTCAGTAATATCAATATCTTTATTTGCGTCTTAGTCATTGGCATGCCAAGCAACTTGTAACTATCAATCTTATCATAGTTCCTTCCAATTTGTATCATGTTGGAGTAAAATCAAAGCTGTGCCACATATGTGGTGTCTATGCAATGCATATAAACACAGATTTTGTTTACAGGATGCACAAGTACGCTGTGATTGACGTGATTTAATTATTATTTATATTATCATATATAATTATAGCAGAATTGCATCACATGTACTGTAGCATTTCCTTAGCGATTATCAAATCATGTTGTTTACCTCACACATGTACAATCTCGGCACTTATACTACTTCTCACTACAGTCGTGCAGGCTGCATCATTGTTAATGTAGAATATCCGTCTTGCCCCTGAACACAAATGCCCAGTATTCAACCAAGATTGTATTGGCGTCACAAAATGGGTTATACAGAA